GTACTGGGAATGCTAGCTAAAATATCATTTGTCACAATATGTGACTCGGGTAACCTATTTTGAATTGAAAATAATAGGCTGACTGATAAATTTTTTATGGGTCTATCCCTCCAAGATTTGTCTATATATACTCTAACCTAATCGCACAAAAATACATCATTTCCAATAAGAAGCCATTGCAGAAACTTGCCTGATCTGCCCTCTATTCCCTTGTCTTGTAGAATAGAGAATCTGATCAAAGGCAATTAACTAATCCAGGAAAATGATTCAGATAGTGCCTCAATCAGTTGTGTTAACCTATATAGTTTTTGTTGCAACCCAGCTGAAGTGGGCATGGGATTGTCTTCTTTATCAATCCTTCTTCGTTCAGCCTGCCGGAATCAAGTTACCAGAGTATGTTGATGATCTTAGTGTAACATGCTACGAAAATAACACAGAGTCTAGAGATTCTGTTGAATGTGCTGTTTGTTTATGCAAGATTGAGGAAGGAGATGAAATCAGAGAACTGAGATGTGATCATCTGTTTCACAGAGTTTGTTTGGATAGGTGGCTCGGCTATGGGCACATGACATGCCCTCTTTGCCGGAATATTCTAAAGTTTGCACCACTGGCGGAGGAGCTCTACCACCACCAGGAACTGATTCTTATTAACTTCTGTGCCACTACATCCAGGGATCGCTGTGCATGGTGGCTACGATGAGCTAATTATTCAGTTTATTCATTTATTTCTAACTTGCTGCCTGTAAAAACATATATTTTTTTTTATATGGTTCATACCGTTTTCGGGAATTCAGACATGTTGTACTCATGCCATATATATATAGTTATACATTTTCGGATGAATTGAGCACATAAATTTATTTTTTATAGTTGTCACTTTTGTAAAAAATAAGAACCATGTCGCTGAAATATGAAAACAACAATTTGCAATATATATATAGAGTTTTGATCTACTAAGCACGGTGCTTAGCTTATGCTAAGCACCGTGCTTAGTTGGCATTTAGAGTTAAATTTTAAAAAATCCAACTAAATCTTAAATAAATTAAACTAAGTTTCCATATATTTAAAGTCATTCAAAGTTAATTAATTAGGGACCCACATGATTAAATTAAAATCAATTACAATCCCACAAACCC